GGATCTCGAGGGCAGTTCAGCTGTGAGCCAGGGATGTTGAAGGGCTTCCTCAACGCTTGGACGCTTTGTGGGATCTGGCTCGAGGAGCTTTCGGGCGAAATCGATGAGGGCTGGGGAGACTTTGAGTCTTTCAAGTTCCGCGATGCTGGGACGGTTAGTTGTGTCACCGGTGATTATTTGGTACAACAGGGCGCCAACAGACCAAGTATCGGCGGCTGGGCTCACCTCTGGAGGGTGCCTCTGGTGTCGGCGTTCTGCTGAGTAAATTTCTGGAGGTACATAGACAGTTGAACGGAACGACAGCCGCACAGGACGATCTTCCAAATGCCTCTGATATTGTGTTGCCCCACCGAGGACAATTCTCTTGCGTCTCTCATCGGTGAAGAAGAGATTTTCTGGACTCAAACCGACATAGGAGATGTCCTCCGTATGCAGGGAGTGCAGAAGGTTGAGAATCTGTCGAATGACTAAAACGGCATCCTCTTCATTCATTGTGATTCTGTTGCGCAGTTGGTCCCACAGCGAAACTGGGACCAGATCCTCAATGACCCAGATCAGGCGTTTAGCGTCCAGGAAGACGTCACGAAGATCAACCAGATTTTGGTGTTGGACACTAGTCAGGAGTCTGAGCTCCATCTCAGCTCTCTTGCGTCGCTCCTCTTCGGCAAAGTGCCTAATTCTCGTTGTTGGTGTGTACACGGTCGGACGCATCTCCATCAGTGTTGAGGATGACCTGCGCATTTGAACGTCGGGCAGGGTCTCTAGGTTCAGAACCTTGCCCAGGCCGATCTTTCCAGTTCGCCTATCCCGCACCCGGTAGATGTAAGCGTGAGGTGTTCGTGCCAACTCCTCCAAAATTTCGTAACGTTCCTCAAAGGTACCATCACTGATTTTCAGTGGTCTGGTTGAAGAACGGCGACTCAAACGGCTTTCAGTTCGTGTCTCCAGGATCACGTAGTCTGAAGGTTCACTGGCGGGGCCCAAACCCAGGAGGTTTTGCATCCGAATTCTGAAACGATAGCGCAGTCCTGGACGCAACTGATCACCAACCAAAACCTCTGTTTGAGTGATTGGAGTTGTTCCCAAGAGGACCCAGTTGTCGGGTTCCCGATCTGTGCTATACTCGATGCGATAACCAGTGCTGGAGAATATATCATCTGAGGTGGACGGCGGTTGCCAACGTAGTAGTAACAGACCCGGTTCACGTAGATTAACAGTAGGTGGTAGCAACTGGCCATGAGGCTTGTCATCTACGTGTAACCTCACATCAAAGTAGTCCCGTCCGGCTGGATTTTCAATCCAGATGCGATAAAGTCCCTCGTCTTGGGGTAGCACACGATCAAGATTTAGGTACACCCATCGGCCACATTCAGACACGTCGATTTTCGCCCTACGCTCTACGGGAGGTAGGAGGTCTGGTGAGAGTCGGCCTCTCGGCCGCCACACGCATTCCAGCCAGACCCTGTTCACCCAACCTTTTCGATGCAAAGTCTGGAAAGGTAGGTCAAGGGGCAGGCGTAGATTCCAGTTTCCTCCACTGGTCACACGATGATCGCTCTGACCGGCGAGGAAAACAGTTCGGCTGAAGCGAGCCGGGGCTGGAAGGGGAGGAAAAACAGTATAGCATGCTTATTTAAGTCAGAATATAATGTGTACTTTAATGTCATAAGTAGCACGATTAAGTGAAAACAAAGACAGTTTTTGCTGCCATGTTTTACAATATTCACGAAGAAGACAGGTATTCGAAAAGAAACTTACCATCAATATGAACGTGCCAGGTTCGCACAATTTCTTCATACTGATTTCGGGCCCTAAATTTGATATCTCCTTCGTGAATATATTCCACCCTATTGATGCGGAGCTCGTACGTACCGTCGCCTCTCGTGAGAAAGTGTACATTAGAATCCACTCCTTCGTAGAGTTCTGTGCCACTGAGGTACCTGTGAAACATAAAGACATATCTAGAATGTTCCGAAAAGGATTTGTGCAGTTTTTGCTGACGTCTAAGCATAGGAAGAGTAGAGAAATGGGCATCTTCTCACTATAACAGAGTCTGAATTACATACCAGTTCACTGAAGGCTTGGGATGTCCTTCCACGTTGACGACAACCACAAGAGTTTGACCGAGGACACATTTGACATCGCAAACATCGTCCATGTTGACGAAACGGAGTGGTTTGCGTTCTAGAGGAGGATGAAACAGGGAAAAGTTATAAGGCTCTCCAACAGACTGCATTTAGTTAAACACGAGGAAAGAGATAAAGAGAGCGAAAAAGCAACTGAGGAAGGGAAAAGAGTAATCACAACTTGACTGGAATTCCAAGTATTCAACAAACAAGAAAGCTTTCATTCACCTTCTTCCGGGACAAGAGAAATTGGCGTTGGCAAGGGTCTAGGTCGACTGCTAGCTCCATTCAAGGTGGAAATTATGCGGAATTCCCAGTCTGATGGACGACTAGGTAAGTCAGCCACCCGACTTCCGGGTCTTGATTCCGGTCTCATGGCCAGTCCCTTTATGTCCGCCGGTGTGAGGACGTAGTGAGTGCTAGGCAGGGCGTCCGCGATAGTGATCCAGCTTGCCTTGTGGTCGCCAACTGGTCGTCCCTCTATGCGATACCTAATAAGGTCTGTCTGGCGTTCAAGGTTCTGTGGGGGCAACCAAGAGAACCTAAAGCCTCCACTTGGTGTTGGCAGAAACTGGGCGGAAAAGTTACGCGGCATCAGGACGTAGTCAGAGACTGTAGGAAGACATGGTCTCCGAAGGTCTCCGCCGGTTGTCCTGATCGGTTCCAGTAGACTCACCGTTCGGAGAGCTATCGGCGTAGTCATATCTTGGCCTGGGGTCCTGTCAATCAGCCTGAAGTTGTAGGTGCGACCAGGAATTAGGTCCGTGACCTCGTAGGTCGTGAATATAGGCGAGTATGAAATTCTAGCGATCGGTTCCCAGACGGGCTCTGCCAGATAATCCGGAGATTCTGGGACGAGCCGTCGTTCAAGAACGTAGTATCGGTCGGGTTCATGGTCTTTCGGAAGGTCCCGGAACTCCCACTGCAGCAACACCGATGAAAGACCGACATGCTTAGCTTCGAGCTTGCTTGGCAGAACGAGCGGATGCCGTTCCGCGGGAGACCCTGTAGGCAGCGGGGACATTCTGAGGGATGTCGGATAATCATCAACGCGAATCCATTCGGTTTGAGGTCCATCATCACTGCCGATGAAGAAGTTACGGCTCTTCGGAACAGTCGGGGTTTCGTAGAAAAGAGGTGACTGTGGAATGAAGCTCCTCACACGGAACTGCGAAGTTGTATCCACGTCGAGAATGTAGTTTCTGTGCGGTGTTCTGCCGACCTCGAACCACTGACGTCTGCCGGGTAGGCGCTGCTCAATGACGTATTCCACTCGTTGGGGCACCGCAGTGTCTATATCAAGCCTTGGTGGTAGCCAGCTTAGC